AGTTTTTTCTAGGAAGCTGGCAAACACTTTTTGGGTGTGTTAAAGATAACCAGTCACAAAAAGAAGACTTAATTAGGTGCCAGCTTTGTCCTCAGAAAAACTGGGCCAAAGATGAAAATGTGTAGGCTTTGAAGAGGAAGTTTCCCGGGGGATCAATAAAAGACGCCAGTGTTACCCTGATTGCCATTTCTTAAAGTGGAGGGAACAATCTATTTTTTCTAAAGTATTTTTATTTTTATCTTATATCAAAAGAAAAAACGCCATCTACTCATAACTCTGCAAACTCATGGTCTGGGTGATCCTGCCCTTGAACTGGCAAAAAACTCATTAAAGCCTTACAGTTCTCCTTCTTGGAAAGAAGTTCAGACGTCCTCGGCAGAGTCCTCCTCAGAAAGAACCACCAAAGGGGACTACGATTTGTAAAACTTGGTGTGACTGATTGCAAAGGTCTTTTAAAAAGATGTAAAAATTGTAACACAGGTATTTTTTAAATTATCATGTACAGAACTAGTGGGAAAGAGAAAAATAGGGTTCTGCTTAATTACTTGGATCCTCCTCCTGCAGGGCCTGGACGTTCCTAGCCCAGAAGTGCCCGGAGGCGACACACGGCGCTGCCTGGCATCCCCACCTTCCTCTCCTGCGCCCTCCTGTCCTCTCAGGTACCCTACGACTGTTTTCACCGTAGGCTTTGGGAAATATCACACTTCCTCCACTCTTCACTGGGCATTTTCATAACATTATAATAACCATCGCATAAGGTTCCTCAAAAGCCCCACAAACAATCCAGCTCCCTTTTTATCTGTTTCTGTACTTTAGGGCTTGTGTAAGACTTCATGTCAAAAGGGATTCTGCTGCTAAAAAGGGCCTTGGAAACTTATGGACAACACTCCGGTAGGAAGATTCTTTGCAAGGCACTCACCACGTGTATGTACGCTCCCTCCCACCCAGTTCCCATCTCCCCTGCCCATAAGCCCTGGCCCATAAGGTTGCTCTGAAAAGGTGGATAATTCACCTTTTTCTCCCACTTTAACTCACAGAACCTGTTGTTCAGAGAAGAAAGCCAAGGTGCTCTGGCCTGACGCTCTAGCCAAAATATTCTTCTATGGCAATTTTTTTTTTTTTTTTTGTCTTTTTGTCTTTTTTCGTGTCCGGCAACGGGATCGCAACCCTCAACCCTCGGTGTTGCTCCCACACCTCGCTCAGCCAGTGAGCGGGAACCGGTCTGTATG